TTGTGACGTGGCAGCCGTGGAGGCGCCCGTCACAAAGTAATAAGGACCGATTTCGCGAATATTTCTGCCGCCGCGACCGAGCCCGCGCCCTGTTTCGCGTACGCCGGCTTCTGCCGCCAGTTAAACATTTCAAAAAGTTCGTGGAGCAGATAGAGAGGCCATCGCGCCCCAGGCTCCCCTTTTGGTCGACCCGCGAAGAGCAGAGAAGCCAGGAACGCCGTGGGACGAAAGAACATCGCCTACACCACCACCGCTACCGCTCAGGTGATTGCGCTCCTGATCTAAGTAACGATTTTCTTTTCCGCCGATTCCCAGAATCGTTCTCGAAAATTCGATCGCTATCGAACAGAGAACATTCTGGAATCGTCTATCGCGTGTCGAAATATTCGATCGCTCACGAATATTCGGCAACGCGATAATTGTCACCGTCACGCCGAGAGCCAGAGCTGCCGCACTGTTTACATTTTCAGCTTGACGTTTCTCGAGGGGCCAGGGGGGGGGGCCCACTCAGCTGAGACGGGAAACAATAGCGCTAAATCAAGGCCACGAAATACGCCGGCGAGAAGAAAAGTCTCGAATAATAATAATCACGGCTACCGAACTTTCGAGACCACGAAAGGATTGAGCACCGGCGAGAGGGAAGGCGGAGGCGGAGGAGCGGATTAGCGATCGACAGGACGAGGAAGATCGGAGCTATCAATTCCTTACCGGTTGCCGTCGCGATATCCCGATTTGAGAAGCTTTTCGCGGTATCGACTGGAGATCTACCGAGTCGTTGGTGAGATCGAGAGAGAGCGATCGTGCGAGAGAGAGAGAGCGGGAGTGCGCGCGTGGGAGAGAGAACGTGTCGGCGAAAACGAGAGAGAGAGCGTGCCGGCGAGAAGGAGAGAGAGACGGCGGTCGGGAGAGAGCAAGCGAGAACGAGCGAGCGAGAGCGCCGACGGAACCGAGGCGGAGGACACCCGAGGAAGACCGCGACACCGACGTCACCCCGAAGGGCGAGCCATCGGAAATTGTAAGGCCTTCTATCTGCTCATACTATCGGTCTGTCATATCGTCTCGTCCGTGGAGCGGCCGCGAAATCGCGAAACCTAGGGACCGGCCCTAGGTTCCCTGCCGACTCGGATATTGTCGCGGACGGCGCACGACTCCGTGTATCGTCGTCGCTTTCGATTTGGTGTACCACGTCCGGGGCGGGGAAACCCGCCCGAATAAAATTCGTTTACAATCGAACTACGACTCCTCGATTACTTCCTACCACCCCCCGTTTCCGACGAACCCATCCCGTCTCCGACTCCAAAATTCCCTGGAGCTACAGGTCCCGTACGGCTCCGGACACGATCTGTCTATCGGTGGTTTCCGGTAGAGTCGATCTTCTCTTGCGACCCTTCTTTGTGCGGTGGTGCGGCCGTTTCCGCACCTGGCGCCCAACTTCTCGCGTTTGGAGGATCGCGTGTCGGGAACCGGCGGAAATTTGCCGGCGGATTAACGGCGTCTCGAAAAATACGTCGCAAATTTTTGGCGCCCAACGTGGGGCCCATTTTCTTATTTTTTTTTTCAACGGGAATAAAGATCAGTGTCGGGGAGTAATACGAAACGCGAGACCGTCGGTGACATGCACCTTCGCGGCTGCTCTGTCTGTTGGTGATGTCCGTGTGCTCGTGGTGTCTGTGTCCCTTTGGCACGAAAATAGGTGTGTCTCAGTGTTGTCGGTGTGACCACTTCCCGGGAGTGATTTTGTGTCGAGGGAATTTAAAATTTTTCGTGGGCCGGAAGTGCTTCGCCCGAGCGTGAATCGTGCGGCAATCGAGGGTGTCACCTCAACACTGCCTATATTTGATAGCGACGGCGGCCGATATCGATTTAATTTTTTTTTTCTTTCTTTCTTGAATTCAGTAATTTCGCGAGCCGGTCGAGAAAATTTTTTTTGCCATTGTCCGCCCTCTTTGCCGTGTCAACGAGTGTCCAGTCAGCTATTTCGTGAAGCAGGGTGAGCAATGCGGCTCTCGAGGGAAAGGCAGGATAGTAGTGTGCGGACTGCGAGCGGTTCTTGCGCGATTTCTTGCACGACTTCTTGCATGCTTTCTTGTGTGACTTCTTGCGACGGTACCATGTAACGGGTGTCCCGCGAGAGTTAGGTTTTGCGAATATCGGAATTGGTGGTGAGCGGCGTTCGCGGGCGAATTTAGTCGTGAGATTCGCGTATCGTGGAGGCGTCGGGGATGTCGGAAAAACGCGATCCCGACTCGTGGATTCTGGAGCTGTCCATCGAGCAGCTTCAAGATCAATGCGAGGGGCTTGCAAGCGGCAGGCACCGCGGCGGCCCTCCGGGGCCGAATTTTACGGTACGAGCGAGCGGGGCGTCGTCTAGTTCCGCCGCCTTCCCCCGCGGTGGACGCGAGCGAGCAAGCGGAGCCCGAGCCTCCGCTGGGGGAGGAATCGTAGGACGGGGCGCGCGGCTTGGCGGGGCGGAGGCTATCGGGTCAAGTAGACCTTGACCACCCGCTACCGGACCCCCGATTACAGGGGTCGCTACCGTTAAAGCCTGAGTCCTCCGCCGGGCCGTCGGTCGCTCCCCCGTCCCCCGCGAGAGTCTTGCCGCCTCTGCGAGTGCCCCTGACGCGCGACGAATTTCCGCCTGCCTTCGAGCCGCAGATAGCGTACCCGCCACCTCTGGTGGATTTCCGACCGCGATACCACGAGCGACCGTTATCGGCCAGCGACGCATATAACACCATGCGTCGCTGGAATTTGAGCTTCTCGGGAGCGCGGGGATGCGACGTCAAAGCCTTCCTCATGCGGATTGAGGAGGATCGCGCCCTGGTACCGATCGCGGATGAGGACTTGTTAAAGTGCCTCCCATTTTTTCTTGCCGGTGTCGCGCTGCATTAGTGCCGGATTAAGCGCTCACGATGGATTACATGGCACAAGTTCGAGGAAGCGATGCGTGCGCGGTTCGGCGACCCAGACTACCAGTTCGCTCTGCGGGACGAGATAATGCGTCCTACGCAGGGCGAGCACGAGTCGGTCGCCGACTATTTGACTTATTTAACAGGGTTGTTTGTTCGACTCGATCCGCCGTGGAGTTTGGTCGAACAACTTAATTACGTGCACCGAAATGTGCTTCTGCGCCTGCAAATAGCCGTGCATCGCGACGATTTTGTGGACCTAGACGCTCTCGAACGACTCGCGACGAGGGTCGAACGCAGTTACGTCGCGAGTCAATATCGCGCGCCACCGCCGCCCTACGTTCCCGGATTTCGCGTACCGGCCGCTACCCCGCGCGTCGAGGTCTTCGACGACCATGTTGGCCGAGACTCGATCCGATTATCGAACACGGGACTCGGAGCCCGGTTGTGCGAGAGAACGTCCGCGAGACACCGAGGCGACGACCCCGCGGGCTCCCGCGGGGGTGCACCGTCTCCCGGCCACCCGGACGGAGGATGCGGAGACGGGGGCGAGGGGTGAGACTCTGCGAGAGACCGCGGAGGCCTCTACCTCAAGGCCGGGGTCGCGGCGCAGTGCCAACACGAAGTGCGACGCGACTGGCCATTTTTCGCGTGACTGTCGCGAGCCCCCGCGTGTCCACTGCTACCGGTGTGGACGCGCACAACAAACGGTGCGGACGTGCCCGGCGTGCGCGGGAAACGGGAGGGGAAGGCGGTAGAGCGGGTCCCCCCGCCTTCTCTCGATTCCGGGGCCCGTGAGAAAACGCGGAGAGTTGTCAGATCGTATGGGGCGCATCACGGAGGCGGGCGAGCGTCCCTGCTATATCTAGAATTTTTTATTGGCTCCTCGGGCTGGTTCGGATCGAACCATTTTTGGCGAGGATGGTGTCGACTTGGTCCGAGGGTTGGGGCTACCGATTTCGCGCGATCTCGATTCTCGAATTCGCTTAGCGGATCGCTAACGGAACGACCGAATTAACTATTGACTTACAGGGACAGAGATGCACGCTTTCCGTCGGTTATTATCGAGTCTCGCGGTCTCAGTCGTCCTCGGGATGGACTTCCTCGCTACATTTGGTGTTATCATTGATTTTTCGAAGCGAGTGGTCGTTCTCGGGGAACGCGGCGATCCGATACACTCTCTGCAACGAGCGTGGACAGGAAGTGCGATGTTGCGGGGTCTCGAAATTGTCGCGCTTAGAGGAGGAGAGATTAAACACCTTCTTAGGGACAATAATACCGACCGCTGCCGAGAGTCTCGGCGTCACGGCGCCCACGGAGGACCGTATTGATGTTGGGAGTCACTCTCCGATTAGGCAGCGCTGTTATTTGGTGTCACCCAAAGTGCAAGAGGCGATCCGTGGGGAGGTCGACAAAATGTTGTCGGCCGGAATAATAGAACCGTCTAAGAGCGAGTGGTCGAATCCAATCGTAATGGTGAAGAAATCGAGCGGCAATTACCGGTTCTGTATTGATTTTCGAAAAGTAAATAACATCTCGAAGAAAGACGCGTATCCGCTGCCGAACATGACGGATATATTAGACAAGCTGCGATCGGCTCGGTATATCTCGACTATCGATTTAAGTCAGGCCTACTTCCAAATACCGTTAGCGAAAGATAGTCGCGAAATTACCGCGTTTTCAGTACCGGGAAAGGGGGCACTACCAATTTACGCGAATGCCGTATGAGCTATTGGGAGCTCCAGCGACCTTTCAGAGGTAGTTGGACAAGTTAATCGGTCCGGAAATGGAGCCCCACGCGTTCGTATATTTAGACGATATCGTGGTAGTGACCTCCACCTTCACTGAACACCTCGAATGGCTGTCGCGCGTCTTCGCGAAGATCAATTCCGCCGGGCTAACAATAAACAAAGAGAAAAGCGAATTTTGCCGTTCGGAGGTTAAATATCTCGGTTGCGTGGTACATAAGGAAGGATTGAAGGTCGACAACGAGAAAGTACAGCCTCTTCTCGATTACCCGGCGCCTACCAACCTTAAGCAGCTACGCCGCTTTCTGAGTATGGTGTCGTGGTACCGTCGCTTTTTATCGAACTTCGCGACCATTAGCGAACCGCTCACGCGCTTGCTGCGGAAGGGCAAGTGGTGAGAGTGGGATACCGAACAAGGAGACGTTTTCGAGAAGATTCGATTGGACTTGACCACTGCGCCAATACTCTCGTGTCCGAATTTCGAGCTACCGTTCGTACTGCAGACCGATGCGAGTACCGTGGGCTTGGGGCTATGTTGACACAGACGATAGATAGCGTCGAACGTGTCATCGCGTATGCCAGCCGCACGCTCTCGGACGCGGAAAAAAAGTACAGCGCGACGGAACTCGAGTGCCTAGCGGTCGTGTGGGCCATTAAGAAATTTCGGCCGTACCTGGAGGACTATCGCTTTACTGTGATCACGGATCACAGTAGTTTGCGGTAGTTACATAACCTGAGTAAGCCGACCCACGAGTCGGCTTGCACGCTGGGCCTTAGAACTCCTCGAGTACGATTACGAGATCGTGCATCGAAAAGGAGCGCTCCACCATGTTCCCGATGCTCTGTCACGAATGTACGAGGGGGATCTCGGCACCCCCTTGGCGACCGTCGCGATAGGAAGCGAACCCGATCTCGAGACCATACTTAGTGACACGAACGATCGATGGTACCGTGAGCGTTTTAGTGCCGTCGCGAAAGACCCGCGTCGATTCCCGACATGGCGGATCGTCGAAGACCGCCTTTACTTTTTGCGACCTAATAAAATAATTTCGGAATTGGTGGAGGATCTGGATCGGTGGAAGTGGGTGCTTCCGCGCGAGTTGCGGGGGAAGCACTCACCGAATTCCACGATCATCCTCAGGCGGGTCATTTAGGTATCGACAAGACCTATCACCGCCTCGCTGTCGCGTACTATTGGCCGAAAATGTTTTGCGAGGTTGTCGAGTACGTGAAGCGGTGCGACGTCTGTCAGCAGACCAAGGTGAGCCAGCAGGCCCCTGCAGGTCTTATGGGGCGAAGGGTTGTCGAGGCGCCCTGGACCGTGGTCGCCGCTAACGTCATGGGCCCGTTGCCGCGGAGCAAGACCGGTCACTCCTATCTTTTGGTGATTCAGGACCTATTTTCGAAATGGGTGGAGTGCCGTGCCTTGCGAACCGCGAACGGAAGGCTCATACGAGCGGCTCTCGACGACCTTGTGCTATCACGTTGGGGAACGCCGAAAGTCCTGCTGACGGACAACGGGACGGAGTTCGTAAACAGGAATATCGAGGAATTCGCGAAGGAACGTGGGATCCATCACGCTACCATTCCGCCGTACCACCCGCAGGCTAACCCGGTCGAGCGAGTGAACCGCGTTCTCAAAACGATGATCGTAGCATTTCTCGATCGAGACCATCGCGAGTGGGACGCGAACCTTAATGACTTCCGGTTCGCGTACAACACGGCGCATCACTCGTCGATCGGGACGTCTCCCGCCTTCCTCAATCTCGGTCGCGAACTGGAACCGTCGCGAACGATCAGGAGACGCGCTAACGATGACATTCGTATCGAGCCGCAAGAACCGGCTCGGTGGTCCGAACGCATGACTCGGTTGTCGACGACACACGCGTGGGTTGTCGAGAATCTAGAAGCCGCTTACCAAAGACAGTCCGCTCATTACAATTTGCGTAGACGCCCGATTACCACAAGGGCGACTTAGTGTTGAGGCGACAACATCTACTATCGTCCGCCGCTCATAACACGGCCGCCAAGCTGGCCCCGAAATTCCAGGGGCCGTACAAGATCTCGAAAATGAGATCGGCGGTCGTGTGCGAGCTTACCGGCCTGGATGGAAGGGTGATGGGTAAAGTCCATGTGAATGAGCTGAAGCCCTACAAAGAACCCTATCCCGCAGACCGAGATACCGTATCGAGACAACATGGGATCCGAGACCCACCGCCGATGGACTGAGTTCCGCCGCCGCTACCGCGCGATCTTCCTCGCTATCCGAGACAAACACCGGGGCTTCTGGGAGGGAGCCAGGGACCTCTGGGAGGACCACCTCCGCGAGACGACCACCACCCGCGGAGCAGTGGTACGGGAGATCCCACCGATGGTTGAGGCGGCCTCTCAGACTTACCCGCCGGCCCGGGAGGTGCGCCACGTGCAGACCCAGACCGAGGGGTGGTGGGATATCTTAGACGAAGTCCTGCTGGAAGCGCGGCGGCGAGTGGCGGAGGAGGCCGCGCGAGAGTACCGCTGGGAGCGGTCGGAGCGGGAGCACGAGCCCTCCCACGCGGCGTCGGTGGCTTCGGGGGCCGCGCGGAGAGCTTCGCGGTGGGAGCGGTCGGCGTCTGGAACAAGGTCCGGCACCGGCTGTTGGAACTGTGGGAGTTCCGGGCACCGATATTCAGGGTGTCCCCGGCCCCGTGACGCCGGGTTTTGTTACCGGTGCGGGGAACAGGGCACTACCTTTTGCGACTGTCCCCGCTGCCAGGCCGAGTGGAGGAGAGAGGGCCCTTATCGTGCCGGGAGGAATGTCCCCACTGGGGACCCCCGCGGAAGGGGCTAAAGGAAGTTACCGCCGACTCTCCGTCAATTCCCGCCTGCCGATAATATCGCGCTACCGGACCGGCTTCGCTATTAGACTTAAGGAAAGTTTTATCAAAGTGTAATCGCGGAAAATAAACAGACCGGACCGAGAAGGAAAGGGGAACCAAGAAAACAAATTTTAGAGAAAGCGTCTCGTTATTATCGTCCGCTACCCTTCCCCTCACCTTTCACCCCCTTCTGACTCCCTGTGCCTCTCGGGGAGGGTCGAGGGGTCGTGAACATAGAACGGAAGGGGGGGCGTGCACCGATACGACCGCGGAGGGATGCAGTGCCTCTCAGATTGCCGCCGCGCTGCGTGACGAGACGCTCGAGAAAGAAGAAAACTCCTGTCGTCGGAAAAGCTCTCACCGCTAACAAAGGCCGAGAGAGCAATCGCGTTTTCCCTTTTAGTGAGCAGATGAGTGGTCAGTGATCTCGCGACGTGACCAAAAGACCTGTTCGGTCCTCCTCGGGGAGGGGGGAGTTGTGACGTGTCAGCCGTGGAGGCGCCCGTCACAAAATAATAAGGACCGATTTCGCGAATATTTCCGCCTACGCGACCGAGCCCGCGCCCTGTTTTGCGTACGCCGGCTCCCGCCGCCAGTTAAACATTTCAAAAAGTTCGTGGAGCAGATAGAGAGGTCATCGCGCGCCGGGTTCTGTGCCCCAGGCTCCCCTTTTGGTCGACCCGCGAAGAGGAGAGAAGCCAGGAATGCCGTGGGACGAAAGAACATCGCCTACACCATCACCGCGACCGCTCAGGTGATTGCACTCCTGATCTAAGTAACGATTTTCTTTTCCGCCGATTCCAAGAATCGTTCTCGAAAATTCGGTCGCTATCGAACAGAGAACATTCTGGAATCGTCTATCGCGTGTCGAAATATTCAATCGCTCACGAATATTCGGCAACGCGATAATTGTCACCGCCACGCCGAGAGCCAGAGCTGCCGCACTGTTTACATTTTCAGCTTGACGTTTCTCGAGGGGCCAGGGGGGGGGCACTCAGCTGAGACGGGAAACAATACCGCTAAATCAAGGCCACGAAATACGCCGGCGAGAAGAAAAGTCTCGAATAATAATAATCACGGCTACCGAACTTTCGAGACCACGAAAGGATTGAGCACCGGCGAGAGGGAAGGCGAAGGCGGAGGAGCGGATCAGCGATCGACAGGACGAGGAAGATCGAAGCGATCAATTCCTTACCGGTTGCCGTCGTGACACCCCGATTTGAGAAGCTTTTCGCGGTATCGACTGGAGATCTACCGAGTCGTTGGTGAGATCGAGAGAGAGCGATCGTGCGAGAGAGAGAGAGCGGGAGTGCGCGCGTGGGAGAGAGAACGTGTCGGCGAAAACGAGAGAGAGAGCGTGCCGGCGAGAAGGAGAGAGAGACGGCGGTCGGGAGAGAGCAAGCGAGAACGAGCGAGCGAGAGCGCCGACGGAACCGAGGCGGAGGACACCCGAGGAAGACCGCGACACCGACGTCACCCCGAAGGACGAGCCATCGGAAATAGTAAGGCCTCCTATCTGCTCATACTACCATAGAAGGAGGAGGGCATACTAGGTGGCGGCGGGTAAACGCCGTGCGTTCGTGATATGCGTATATTTTTCGTTCCAGAAAGAGGAAAATATCGAGAGCGCGGTCTTGCTAGGCCGGGACTCGAACCCGGGTCTTTCGCTTGCCGGGCGACTGCTCTAAACCACTGAGCTACCTGACGCTCCACGCTCACGACACTCTGCTCTTCCTAGATAACGCTCAGAGATGCCTTTCGGAAGCGACATCTCTGGCGCGATCCCGAGCGCACGGCGACTACAGAGAGAAACAATGTTACTGTACCAAATGGTACAGCTGTCAGTCTCTCAAAGTCAAAGGTTGCTATCCTTTAAGACATGCTGTCCATGTATGCCCGTCTCCACCGTTGCCTCTCCTCATCCGGTGCAAATAATACAAATAAGCCCCGGGACACCAATTTTTTGGCAGCCCCCGGGTGCTTGGACGCATTGCGCCATGGGGGATCCACCATAGAAGGAGGAGGGCATACTGTCATATCGTCTCGTCCGTGGAGCGGCCGCGAAACCTAGGGACCGGCCCTAGGCTCACTGCCGACTCGCATATTGTCGCGGACGGCGCAAGACCCCGTGTATCGTCGTCGCTTTCGATTTGGTGTACCGCGTCCGACCTTGGGGCGAGGAGACCCGCCCGAATAAAATTCGTTTACAATCGAACTACGACTCCTCGATTACTTCCTACCACCCCCCCGTTTCCGACGAACCCATCCCGTCTCCGACTCCAAAATTCCCTGGAGCTACCGGTCCCGTACGGCTCCGGACACGATCTGTCTATCGGTAGTTTCCGGTAGAGTCGAACTTCTCTCGCGACCCTTCTTTGTGCGGTAGTGCGGCCATTTCCGCACCTGGCGCCCAACTTTTCGCGTTTGGAGGATCGCGTGTCAGGAGCCGGCGGAAATTTGCCGGCGGATTAACGGCGTCTCGAAAAATACGTCGCTATATATATATATATATATATATATATATATATATATATATAATAAAATT